ACCACATCGGCCAACAGAAACAACATCGGCCAATAGAAACCACATCGGCCAACAGAAACCACATCGGCCAACATAAACCACATCGGCCAACAGAAACCACATCGGCCAACAGAAACTCACAAATGTTTGTTCGTCATGGCCACTGATTTATTGAGCATTGGCACCCGAAAAACAAGAATAGTTTTCTTTAAACCTCAAAAAAGGTATGTACTATCAACAGAAGAAAAAATATTCATATCTATTTGAAAAGAAAGATTTTGAAAGTTATTCCAAAAGCGATTTCCAGAAAGAATTAATTAACACTTTTTTCAAATGTTCGCCGAAGATTACAATCCGTAAATGTTTATATATGTTTACAAATTCAAATAGTAAACATTGACTAGTTCATGTGTAAACCATTCATCCTTACACGGCAATCTGATCATCCTTCATCCATTCATCCTTTCATCCCTTTATCCCTTCATCTCTTCATCCCTTCATCCCTTATATCCTTCATCCCTTTATATTTATACTTTATATACATCCCTTCATCCCTTCATCTCTAAACTTCATATTCATATATATCCTTCATCCCTTAATATACAAATATCCTTCATCCCTTCATATACACATATCCTTCATATGCATTTATCCTTCATCCCTTTATATACATATATCTTTCATCCCTTTATATACACATATCCTTCATACCTTAATATACAAATATCCTTCATCCCTTTATATACACATATCCTGCATTTGCAAATATCATTCATTCTTGCATCCCTAGCTTCATGCATATATCTTTCATGTAATGTCTACTGTCTAGGTAAAAAGATACTGAGTTCTGATTTTTTTTATTTCTTAATCTTTGCAACCGGATCTCGTGGACCTTTTATATTTCAAACCATGAATTCTGTTGTTAGATAAAATAGCCTAAGTTAGAAATATCAAAGGTTTACAGCACCAGGTTGGGAATAGAGAATTGATTAAAAAGTTCGCGTTTCGAGAACTCAATTCATTTAGTAGATATCCCTCCTCATCTCAATTTATAACAAATTATTAGTACATTTGATATTTCGAACAAAATGTTAGATTTTTCTCTAACATAAAACTTTATACAGTTGATAGAAGTATAGAGAGACGGTTAAACAGTATATACACGCTGCAGGAAGTTCATCATTATTTTAGGGAGGGTAAAGTGAGAGGGGGGGGGGGCAGGGGGAGAAATCCAAGCAAAGCTATCTTTCATTATAAACCTTAAAGCTATTCATCCATTCATCCTAACTACCATCTTTTTAGCTTTCATAATTCATGAAATGTTTTTACAGGTTTTATTTCAACATGGTTTTTCATCTTTCATGCTTTATATCTTTCATGCTTTATATCTTTCATGCTTTGTATCTTTCATGCTTTGTGTCTTTCATGCTTTGGATCTTTCATGCTTTGTACTTTTCATGCTTTGGATCTTACATGCTTTGAATCTTTCATGCTTTGGATTTTTCATGCTTTGTATCTTTCATGCTTTGTATCTTTCATTCTTTGTATCTTTCATGCTTTGTATCTTTCATGCTTTGTATCTTTCATGCTTTGGATCTTTCATGCTTTGTATCTTTCATGCTTTGTATCTTTCATGCTTTGGATCTTACATGCTTTGAATCTTTCATGCTTTGGATCTTTCATGCTTTGTATCTTTCATGCTTTGTATCTTTCATGCTTTGGATCTTTCATGCTTTGTATCTTTCATGCTTTGTATTCCCCCACCCCTCTTCTTCCAGCCCCTCCCCCCTTCTTTCCATCCACAACTTAAATCAAAATTAATATATGTCCTTTTTTACAGATTTCGAAATATATTTATATTGTCAGACAGAGTGAAATACTAACAAGACAAGAACAGGGGCGTAAACAGACTGTGGGGGGGGGGCAGGGGCTTCAACCCCCCTTAAACTTTCTTCGGGGGCTCATTGATCAGTCCCCATAGCCATGTCTGTATAAACTAAGAGACAAGAAAATGTGAAAAAAGAAATTCACAAAAAGACAAGATTTAGTAAATAGATAGAATATACATATGCAGCCAAGACAAGAATACAGACAAGATTTAGCGAATAGATAGAATATACATATAAAGACAAGAAAAGAATATAGACAAGATTTCGTGAATACATAGAATATACATATATAAACAAGACAAGAATATAGACAAGATTTAGTGAATAGATAGAATATACATATAAAGACAAGAAAAGAATATAGACAAGATTTCGTGAATACATAGAATATACATATATAAACAAGACAAGAATATAGACAAGATTTAGTGAATAGATAGAATATACATACATAGACAAGACAAGAATATAGACAAGATTTAGTGAATAGATAGAATAAACATACATAGACAAGATTAAGTGAATAGATAGAATATACATATATAGACAAGACAAGAATACAGACAAGATTTAGTGAATAGACAGATAGATGGTTTGGATGGATTGTGCACTACTAAGTCTAATTACCGGAAATGATGCGGCCCCTGCCCTCCTCCCCCCCTACCATACCACCCATCCCATCTCTGACCTACCCCCCCCCCTCTACCCCACCCCATCTTTTGATTCCTTGCCACAGTTTATACATCATTGATTCATCTTTACTCAAGGGTCCATGAGGTCATTGGAGAGGTCATACATGAGGTAATAAAGGAGGTTATTCGAGGGTCATTGAGATCATTTATAAGGTCCTTTATGATGTCATTTATGAGGTCCTGTACTAGATAATGTCTTATGTAACTTGTGAGGTCCTTTGTGAGGTCATTTGTGAGGTCCTGTAAGTGGTAATTTATGAGGTCATTCATGAGGTCATTTATGAAGTCATGTTAGAAGTTATTTTTAAGGTTAATTATGAGGTCAATCAACAGGTGATCCATCTATGGTAAAGATTGGTTTACATTTTTAAAAACATTTATAGTAATAACCCCATATCTTGGAAACCTGAACCTACCTGTTTATATATATTATGTTATAATCACCTGACCGTATTATCGGGCAGTTTAATCTTTATCTGTACCTTATACATAAATATAGATTAGTTGGATATGCACTCTGCTTTATTACGGTCAGACGTGTTAGCTCTTGGTAGAGAGTGTAGAGTTTAAGAGAGTTGTATCTGGATTGATACATACTTAAGAATACAGAGAGAGTTGTATCTGGATTGATACATACATAAAAATACAGAGAGAGTTGTATCTGAATTGATACACACTTAAAGAAATATTGGAGTAAGGCATTTGTTACATATGTATATAATATCCGTATCTATTCTACTATCTACACTAAAGATTATCTACATATCTAACTATCTGTGATTTTAATTAAAGATCAAGTTACAAGCAGTAGTATAATGTATAATACACCAGCCATTCATTTCCGCAAAATTTTCGACAAAAAATAATTTTAGAAATTATATTTTTCAAACATTGTCTCCCGGGTTATGATTATGATTAATTACTATCCCGTCCGGACAAATTTCGCAAAATATAGGGTTACCCACAAACAATGAGACCTCAGAGACGATTGTACGAAATTTGTTTAGTCCGTTTGCTTGCATTCAGGGTTCCATGTAGGCCCAAACTGGTTCATATCTGTCTTTAATACTTTAGAAAACCATCAAATTATTCAATTTAATGCAGAAACCAAAAATCAAGCTTCAAATCGTCATATTTTTAGAGTTTTGGGTCGTCTTTGAAGTCTCATCCTTTGTGGGTAACCCTGTAGATCTAACCTTTTAGAGCTCAGGTCATGAGGAATTTTTAAAAAAATCAGGCTTTAGTCTAGCTTGCTAAACCTTGATATACAAAATTAAATGCAATATATTTACAATGCAGTTGGATCAATATTGATGACTGCACAATGTTTATGGATCTAAATTCTTAATGAGTTTTTCATTTATTTCAAATGAATAAACAATTTTCTTCATGTTCGCATGCATGCATAAAGTTTAAAACGAAAAAGCAAAATTAGATATTTTCGTGATAATAATTATCGAAGTAATGCACCTACCTCCGAAAAAGAAAAATATTTCAGATTTAAAACCAGATATCCTTTGTCCCTGTAGATGGAAAGAAGGAATATTTACTATCATAATTTAACTAAAAGATTAAAATATATAATATATTTTATATTACAAACACATATCCCCCCCCCCTTACAAAATAACTCTATTGCGCCCATAGTTGCTTTTCAACAATTAAGAAATTCATTTTTTTAACAATAAAAATGTGACGTAGGTTTTGCCCTGGCATTTGGAAACACTCAAATATCGAAAATCCGTGGAATACTGAATATATAAATATTAAATGAAGAACTTGTCACAATCTGTGGTATGTACTTAATAACCTTTCAACATCATATTGACGAAAAAGGCTTCGATTTGAACCTTATAAAAATTAATTCACGAATTTTGTAAAAAGCGGGGGTTATAGGATAAACCATGGTAGGATTAACTTTGTTTACATTTGGAAATGTACTTTTTTTTGATGTTCAGATTACCTGAAATATTTTTATTTGTAACATTACCCCCTTCTTAAAAGAGTGTAAATAGTGTACAAATGTTTATAAATATAAAACTTTAAGAATATATATTTTAAAAAAGTAATATATTAATATTTGAAATAATATTTCAATGTTTCATGTTCTTCTCTAATTTATTAAATATTGATTACCCTAAACCCTTATCAAAATATTAAACTGGGTTACTTGAATACTTGGTATATAAATATATCATTATTTGCATTATTTACTATAAAGTTTGCATGTATGTAACATGTATGTATAATATGTAGGTATATTAGGAACATTGAGAAAAAAAGTTCTGTTAGTTCTGTTATGAATCAAAGGGTGATCCATGTTTCAATTTGAATTTAAAAAACTTGTTAAAAGTACATTAATAAAATATTAAAACTACAAATTATTGTTATTAAGAGAAAGCCAGTAAAAGTGCCGGTATCTGTATATCTCTCTCAGCTGGAGAAAGCTAGTGAGCATGAAACTCCCGGCTCCCTTAGATAAGCTCAAGAGAAAGGGATAGTTTTGTAACATTCTTTCCCGGTAGCAGTTGATGTATGGAAACCAGTGAATATGGAAGAGGGAAACATAGAGGAGAAAAGGGAATCTTGGGGATCCAGGGTTTCTTTTCTTCTAGCGTGCATTGGATACGCTGTGGGTTTAGGAAACATCTGGCGGTTTCCCTATAATGTTTACAAATCTGGTGGTGGGGCCTTTCTAGTACCGTACTTCATCATGCTTTTCCTCTGCGGGATTCCTCTTCTTTTAATGGAGATGGCAGTTGGACAGTATACTAGAAGAGGTCCTATCGGAGCACTGGACAAACTATGTCCAATCTTGAAGGGAGCTGGAGTTGGGACAGTTATCATATCTTTCTTCTTGTCCACCTACTACAATGTGATCTTGTCTTGGACCTTATTCTACCTCGGAGCCTCCTTCCATGATCCTTTACCTTGGATAGGATGTGATAATGATTGGAACACTGAAAACTGTTTTGATTTGGAGAATGCAACCATCAGCTCAAATGACTCAGTTGCAAGTACTCAGGAATACTTTGATCACCATGTTCTTAAAATGAGTGACGGCATCACTTCAGCTGGAAGCTTACGGGTGGAACTTTTTCTTCTTCTCATAGCAGCCTGGGTGATGGTGTATCTATGCTTATGGAGGGGAGTAGCTTTGACTGGAAAAATTGTTTACCTAACAGCCTGTGTTCCCTGCTTCCTTCTAATAGCTTTTGCTGTTCGAGGTTTAACTTTAACTGGAGCGAGCAAAGGTTTGGAGTTCTTCTTTAAACCTGACTGGAGTAGAATACTGGAAGTGAAAATTTGGGTAAATGCTGCATCACAGGTCTTCAACTCAATAGGAATTGGATTTGGTTCCCTGATCGCCTTTAGCAGTTACAACAAGTTTAGAGGACCAGTTCTACGCGACACTTTGATTGTTACCTTTGTTGATGCTATCGTCAGCATTGTGTGTGGCATAGCTGTGTTCTCTGTTCTTGGAAACCTGGCTCATGAGCAAGGAAAGGACGTTAAAGATGTGGTGACTGATGGCCCCGGGCTTGTGTTTGTTGTGTTCCCTCATGCACTCTCACAAATGCCATTTCCACAGTTGTGGTCTGTCATCTTTTTCCTGATGTTACTCTTTCTTGGTATTGACAGTCAGTTTGCAACTGTAGAGGTTATTATTACGTCTATTAAGGATGGATGCCATGGAATGGAGTTCAAGATTAGACATGAAGTTCTAGTATTATTGGTTTGTCTGGCATCTTTTATTTGTGGAATACCTCATGTGTTCCAAAGTGGCATTTACACCTTTACAATTGTGGACTTCTATTCTGCTACAATCAGCTTGATGTTCATTGCTCTGTTTGAAACTGTTGCCATTGTCTGGTGCTATGGAGCTGACCGGTTGGGAATGAACGTTAAAGACATGACGGGGAAGGCTCCGTCCCTATTCTTCAGCCTCTGTTGGAAATATGTCTCCCCAGTTCTCATCTTTATCCTGTGGGTCTTCACATTGGCAGATTATAGCACTCCTACATTCAACTCGGGACAATACTTCTTCCCAACATGGTGTCTTGCCTTTGGTTGGATTATCACCTCACTCAGCTTGGTCTCAATACCCTTGGTGGCAGTCCTGCAAGTAGCAACAGCCAATGGGAAGTCAGTACTTCAGAAGTTTGTTCGCGCTTGGAAATCAAGGTAGATTAAAATCTTTTACCTCAAACTAAAATATTATATTTAATGATTTATTCCCAAAGATTATATTGCAGATATTAACATTTTTAGTAGCTTTAGTTTCATCTTACCATATCAACAATGTTTTTAAGGAATTAAGACTTTGTCACAAACTGATATTGTAGTCTCTATATCTTTACGACCCAATGTCGTACACCTTAGATATTTCAAAATTTGATCAAATAATCTAAGTTTGAAGTATCAAAGGTTTACACAATCAGATTGCAAAGATATAGGGATTACAAAATTTGAGTTTGTGGCAAAATATTAGTTCCGTTGTATTGAAATGATACTTGGAAGACCTTTAAATTTAGCAAATCAGTTTTTATTGTCAATAATGCAGCTCAGATTGATAACATCCGCGTATATAAGCGAGAATCTAGATAACTTAGATTTTAAAAAATTACGAATTTAATATGGGGTTAAAAAAATTAGAACAGATATATGTAATTTGATGCTTCTTAAAGTTTTAACAGTAACTTTTCTTTTGAAAAAAAATATAGTTTCTTTCATTTCTGCATATAATTTCAAAGGTATTTTAGGAAAATTAAGTTTTAATAAGTTTTTTCAAAACTTTGTTTTAGGATTGACAAATGCCCGTGCTGTAATGAGAAGCTAGATTCGAACCAACAAGCTCATACCTTATACTCCAATACACAGTCAGAGGAGTCTTTAGCTCTCAATCTGAAAGCATAGATCAGAAAACATGGATCAGAAAGCATAGATCAGAAAGCATAGATCAGAAAGCATAGATCAGAAAGCATAGATCAGAAAACCTGGATCAGAAAGCATAGATCAGAAAGCATAGATCAGAAAACCTGGATCAGAAAGCATAGATCAGAAAACCTGGATCAGAAAGCATGATAAGAAATCAGAACTTTCTAGATGAGAAACCTTCTTGATCAAGTTGTACTATGCTCAATACAATCTGCATTTGTACAGTTTTTTTATTTATCAATATCACTAGTGTCAATTTAAGAAAATCAGACTAGTGTCAATTTAAGAAAATCAGACTAGTGTCAATTTAAGAAAATCAGACTAGTGTCAATTTAAAAAAATCAGACTAGTGTCAATTTAAGAAAATCAGACTAGTGTCAATTTAAGAAAACACTATTCTGAGGTTCAAATCCTATGTTGTGCAATGTGCTATGTATATTGCCAATTATGATTACTAGATTAGTAGATAAATGTCTGAACAAGTCTGAACATAGAGAATATTACAAATTACCTCAGATTGTTACTCTCAACACCATCTAGTGTTTTCTAGTAGAACTATATTTAAAAATGCGTTTTAGAACAGGGTTTATGAACAAAAAAGTCTTTTATAAGCTGTTTAAGCCTTATTAATATTATAAAATTATTGCAATTTTAAGTGACACTTTTTTTAAATTGGGCATACCTGATTCACAACGGAATGAAAAATGAAAATGATCAGTTTTTAAAAGCCAAACCGTTGTGAATCGGACATGCCACTCTCTCAACAGAGATTTATCTGAAATATCGTTTACAATCCTTTTAACCCCAGTATTGCTGATCTTTTACAACATGTCTTTCTTTCCGTAAATCAGACACAACACATAAACTTGTTTCTTCAAACCATATCAAATAATATTAATAATAAATAGTTTCAGCTTTAATAATCTCAAAATACTTTTTTTTTGTAATATTCTCCATTTTATCTATAATTCATGAGTCCAATGATGCTGGTTTAAATACGCTAGACAGCCTGTTGTTAGGCTTTAAAATAGTTTATTCTAGATAATTGTTTATTTTTGTTAATATTGTTAATTTAGTGAAATTTACCAGAGTGTTTGTCGTAATAAACTTAAGAAAAAATTTAGTAATAAACTTAGGAAAAATTTTAGAAATAAACTTAGGAAAAAATTTAGTAATAAACTTAGGAAAATTTTTGTAATAAACTTAGGAAAAAATTTAGAAATAAACTTAGGAAAAATTTAGTAATAAACTCAAATTTTAGAACATATGCTTATATTTAATTCACAGATTAAACGTTATGATGCGAGGGGTGGGGAGCACATTATCTGAGATAAAAGGGAAGAGAAAGGGGAGATAAAAAGAAGGAAAAGAAAAACAGATTTTTTTTAAATCTTTAAATTAAGTGCTTTTTTCAAATAAATACTTTTTTATGCAAAACAAGGTTGAAAGTGTGAATTCTTTTATTTCTAAGTTTTTTTTGTACCCAGTTGATAATAATGGGAAACGTGATGATTCAAAGTTTTCGTATTTTCATTTTTATACAAAACCAGTGATCTCTGATTTTATGTCTGCTTGTATGTCCGATCCTAACTCATGAACCCTTGACCGATTTGCCTCAAATAACTTGGTATATAACTTGAGTTTTTATACTTTTATATAAAAGTTTCAAGCAAAGCCGGGTTCCAAAACTATGAAAAATAAGCTAAAGAAAACATAAGATATTATGATATCTATACTTGATCACATCAAATGGTAGTTTTCTTATGTTTCATTTACACCTCTTGTAGGTTTAAAAACAAATATTGGGAAATTAAATTTCTTTAAGATCATTTTCAATTGAAGTCCAGAAGATATAAAGTCAAGTTAAAATCTAGTATGTAAATATACAGGGTTTAATTCAAAAATAGTTTTCACTCATTTTCGAATGCAAAGGTATGTTTAGGAGGTTAGTACCACATACTTTAACGAGATGTACTACTTTGGATTAAAGAAATAAGTGTTTCGGCTATTCGTGAAGGGAACATTTTTAGTAAAAAAATATTTATACATCGATCTTCTACACCACCTTGGCCCTTTTTATCTTATTCCAAACATACAATTCATTTTCAGTATAAAAACATTTATACATCAACCTACTATACCACCTTGACTTTTTATCTTATTCCTAACATACTATTCATTTTCAGTATAAAAAATATTTATACATTGACCTTCTATACCACCTTGGCTCTTTTTATCTTATCCCCAGCATACCATTTATTTTCAGTATAAAAGTATTTATACATCGACACCTTCTATACCACCTTGGCGCTTTTTATCTTATTCCCAACATACTATTTATTTTCAGTATAAAAACATCTATACATCGACCTTCTATACCACCTTGGGTCTTTTTATACCCAACATACTATTCATTTTCAGTATAAAAATATTTATACATTGACCTTCTATACCACCTTGGCTCTTTTTATCTTATTCCTAACATACTATTTATTTTCAATATAAAAATATTTATACATCGACCTTCTACACCACCTTGACTTTTTATCTTATTCCTAACATACTATTCATTTTCAGTATAAAAAGTATTTATACATTGACCTTCAACACCACCTTGGCTCTTTTTATCTTATTCCCAACATACTATTTATTTTCAGTATAAAAACATCTATACATCGACCTTCTATACCACCTTGGGTCTTTTTATACCCAACATACTATTCATTTTCAGTATAAAAATATTTATACATTGACCTTCTATACCACCTTGGCTCTTTTTATCTTATCCCCAGCATACCATTTATTTTCAGTATAAAAACATCTATACATTGACCTTCTACACCACCTTGCCTCTTTTTATCTTATCCCCAGCATACTATTCATTTTCAGTATAAAAATATTTTTACATTGACCTTCTATACCTTTTATATTTTCCCAACGTACAATTCATTTTCAGTATAAAAATATTTATACATTGACCTTCTATACCACCTTGGCTCTTTTTATCATATTCCCAACATACCATTTATTTTCATTATAAAACATCTTTACATTGAGCTTCTATACCACCTTGGCCCTTTTTATATTGTTCCCAACATACTATTCATTTTATCAGAAATTTTTTGGTTTGACTTTTTGGCATAATGATTTTTCCATTTTTTCAATAAAATTATCTTGTCAACTATGTACGTAAATATGAACTATAATTATTGTTGACTAATGTAAAATCCCTCGAAAACATTTGTTGGCAGTGTATTGTTGTATTAAATAATAAATGAAATTTCCTAGAATTTCCCACATCTGATTTTGAATATAAAGTATGTACACTACGAACCCAGCCTTTGAATACAATATTTAATTGCCAGAAAACCCCTTTTGTCAGTGAGTAATGAGTTGAATAATAAATTCAGTTCTCTAGAAAAGCTGATTGCTTTATAGCTAGTACTGAACCATATATACGTACACAACGAACCTAGATTATTGTAAATGTGAATACTGAAACTAAGGAAGGCCCGGGGGGGAGGGTTGTTGGTTTAAACTTAATATTTAAATATAATTAGTTTCTGCAGGTACTATAGCATTAATAAATAAAAACCTGGGGTGTATATTTTCCTAAAAAAATATTTCTCCTTTTTAGAAAGTAATTTTTTACTTAGAAGTTATATATGGACGGTTGCGCAAAGCGCAACAATTTGTTCTACTATTATTAAGCTGAATTTAGAAAAAATAAATGATTTTTTGAGTAAAAAGTATCAAAAATAAAAAGAAAACTTGCTTGTTGATGTCCAATTTTCAATTTTTCTTCACTAATTCATCAATAATAATTTCCCCACCGGGGGGGGGGAGAGATGTAATTCTAAAAAATAAACACCCCTGTGTTCAACTAAAATTATGAATATGTTAATCTTCAAAAAAATAATATGAACTTTAATCTGCTTCATGAACATTTTCGAAATATTGATAAAAAAATTCATTAATCATGAAAGAAGGATCAAAATTAACAAATTATAATGATACAAATGGAAAAAAAAATCTTTGATAATAAGAATATAATGTTCTAGGCAACGTTTTTCTCCGATGAATTATGAACTTTTTTCTGTTTTTTTTTCTTCTTCATTTTATGACAACTCTTTGATTTTGTCATAAATATGGTTTCACTTTTTTGTTATTATTTTGTATTAGAAATATATTTAATAATGATCAAACTGAAAGTCCCAAGCTTAAAGTATGGGAAAATAATTGTAAAAAACCCTCTCTGGATTTTTGTAAAAAAAAGATGAATTAACTTTGGTGAAATTTATATCAAAACAGTAAACAGCTTAATTAATTATTTTGGATTTTGTAACTATCTACGTAGTTTATCGAAAAATGTCTATGAATATAACATAAAAGTATTGAACAACTGAACTCAGGGGCGTATTCAGGAATTTGTCCAGGGGGGGCTTAGATTTTTTTCTTTCCATGGGGGGGGGGCTCAGCACCCGCTGGGGCCTGAAAACCCCCTGAAATCAATAGATTTCACTGGTCCAGTCCAGGGGGGGGGGCTTAGCCCCAATAGCAGCCCCCCCCCGAATACGCCTCTGACTGAACTATATATTACATTACCTATCTTTAAACTATTACATAAAAACTGCTTTATTCAGTATACTTAGCATAAGTTTTTCCTACCTTAGAGGTAAAAATCAATAAAAAATATATTTATACTTTTGTCTTACGTATTTAGATATTTGACAATCTCGTCCAATAGACTTCATAATTTGACACTTTGAAAATCAGTTGATTAAAGTATATCCCCTCCCATCATCCCATGCAATAAATTAATAAACCTAGTCCCATCATCCTAAAATCTTTTACCAAGTACAATAAAAATAAAGTAAATTAGTCAAAATCGTTAAGTTGACAAAATTAAGGTATTAAGATTAAACATTACATAATTGGTTAAACTGTTTGCCAACATAGATGTCAAACTTTATAACAAATTAGAAATATTTAAAATCCATAGTATCCAAGTAAAAAAATGTTCTGGAGTTCCGGAAAAATAATTCGGAAAACTATTTTTTCTTCTTTGAAACTTTTGCAGTCACTTTTATCTAGAACGTTCTAAAATGGCAAACTGACCTTCTCAACATACCTGCATTTTGTCACTTACGTTTTGACAAGTCACCCTGCAGTTTTTCTAAAATGTTGCTATTGAAAAATTACCTTTTATTTGATAGAAACTTCGGTTTTTATAACTTTTACTAAAACTTATCTTTGATTTTGAATGAATTGAGTCTCTGCAACACACTTATAATCCCTATATCTGTGCAACCCAAAGCAGTAGACCTTGGATATTTTAAACTATGAATTCTAACTGCTAGAGCAAATAATATATATTTGAAATATCAAAGGTTTTCACGATCAGTTTGCGAAGATATGGGGACATAAATATTTAAGTTTGTGGCGAAGACTTAATTCCTTTAATTCAACATTGCAATGAATACTTTATAGAACATCTTTAATAAAATGTCCTATATAGTTAACATGAATTACAAAGCACACAATAGTTTCTGAAAATATTTTCAACCTCGTGTACGTTCTAGCTATTCTTTAGATGGTTCAATCCTATTCTAAGGTTTACACCATCAGGTTGCGAAGATACAAGGATTTGAAAGTGTGAGTTTGTGGCAATGACTTAACTCCTTTACGTCGTGGTGAAGACATTTTTCCGGTTTACGTATTTGAATCCGTAAAATTTCCGAATAACGTTGTGGAAACTGGAACTTTCGGCCAGAAATGTACCAGAGTGGCATTTTCGAATCATGTACAATTTACAGACAATTCTTGTACATATCATGTACATATACGCTGTACAATTTACAGACAATTCATGTACATATTATGTACATATACGCAGTACAATTTACAGACAATTCATGTACATATCATGTACATATACTCTGTACAATTTACAGTCAATACATGTACATATCATGTACATATATTCTGTACAATTTATAGACAATACATGTACATATCATGTACATATACTCTGTACAATTTACAGACAATTTATGCATCTTAAATGTTGTAAAATGAATCCAACAAAATAGATTAAATCTATTTGATAAAAAACAAGACAGTCATACATATCTTCCCTCCGGCCGGCCAAACTGCTGGACCGAATGGGCTGAAATTTTTTTTGGACCCTCATGGGCTAAATTTCTTTGTTTCAAATTGTTATTTCTTTTCCCCGGGCAACTCCGGGCCCTTCAGCTAATATTCTATAAAATCACATGTTAAATCTACATATTAATTCGGCTTGTCTGTCTGTTTGTTTGTATCCAAAAAACGTCAAAACGGCTGAACCGATCGGGCCCAATTTTTTTGGGGGGATCTCGCGTGACCCCATGGAAGTTTTATAAATGATCAAAATTTTAAAAATTTGTGTTGAAAAGTTTTTTATTTTTGTAAAATTTTGTAAATGCGCGAAAAAATATTATGAAATCCGCAAACTTTTTTTGTTTTTGTTTTATACTGTACAAAGAGAAGATGCTCACAGATAAAGCCACAATTAAAAGTTGAAATAGAAGACGGGCGCGAGCGCCCTTAAAGCTTTGTATAATATACTAGGCTTTTAGAATTTCAACTTTTAATTGTGAGCATCATCTGTGAGCATCTTCTCTTTGCACAATATAAAACAATAACAAAAAAAGTCCGCGACTTAATGATTTTTTTAGTTGATTATCAAAATTTTACAAAAGGCAAACGTTTTTGGAGACAATTTTTTAAATTCTAAGCATCTTTAAACCTTCTCTGAGGTCACACAAAAATTTGGGCCAGCTCGGTTCAGCCGTTTTGACATTTATCGGTTACAAACAAACAGATAAACAGACAAGCAAAGTACATATATATATATATATATATATATATTGATTTTATAATATAATGGATTTTATAAGAGATTATAAAATAAATAAAGGAATTGAGTTTTGGCCACAAACCCTGAATTTATCATCCCTTTATTTGCAACCAAAAGTCGTAGACAAGGACTCAATTCCTTTATCTAAGAGAACAAGTTTCCTTTGCCTGATAATATTCTGCTATAAATCAATATTATGCTATGAATCTAATGAAATAACCTTTAGACATCAGGTGGTATCGTAATTTATAAAGGAGGCCGAATGTTCCAATTAATCCTTCAAATTGAATATTTGCAATGGTACTTTTCTAATCTTGATCTTGAATTAAGATTAATTTTGTTCCAATCTCATCAACAAATATTTAGGTAAACAAAATAAAAATAATCTAGGGCCACAGTCAAGAGAATACATAAAAAAATTGAAAATATTTTTTTCTCCTTTTTTAAATACGTGATAAAAATATTTTTGAAAATTATTCTTTATTCTAATGTAAAATGAGACAATTTTTTAGGAAATTATATTTTGCACAGCTTCCAACATTTTCTGTTGAATGGCTTTGATACACTTAGCGCACAAATTTTAACGGCCTTGTTTAATGAAGATTATATTTTGATTTATTGGAATATCAGGGGGGGGGGGCTTGAAGATGCTTATTTATAAGAGCTTTTACCGCCATTTTACATCTACCACAACAACAACAATTTTATATAAAAAGATTTCATTTTTCAATTTGTGAAATGTCTTTTGTGATTTTACGAAATAGGGATTCTACAATCTACACGTTGAAACGTTTTTATCTTAAAAATCATCATATCCCTTGCTGGAAGACACTTATGGTGCTCACATAATTCTTCCATTTTGTGCTTTTATTATTGGATGCTTTCTATTTCTGTACATGTGCAATTTATATTATAAACAGAAATTTTGTCTGTTCCCTGTGTTACGTATCTTTCTGGTGCCCTGTAATGCTGTATTACGTTTGAAATCTATTTTTTTTAAAGTTACTTTTAAATAATTTTCTAAATAATCTTATTTTTTTTCAGGATCAATTTTTGGTACTAAATTAATTAATTTTCTTTTCTGTTTTTCTATTAATTATTCTTGTCTGTTGACTGTGTTACGTATATTTTGTTGCCCTGTATACAGTGTATAGAGGTACACGTACCATCCATTCAGCAGCCTATTGTTTACAGGTCAACTGTAGACACCTAGATTTATAGATACAATAATAGAATAGAACCAGGGGGGGGGGGGTACATAGGATAAGAAAGGTTGGGACAGAGTAGGAAGATAAGCTAGGACGATGTAGGAAAGGTTAGACCAGAGTAGGATAAGTTATGAAGTAGTAGGATTCGCTTGGACGGAGTAGAATAGGTTAGGACGGAGAGTAGTATAGGTTAGAACGGAGTAGTATAGGTAAGGACGGAGTAGAATAGGTTAGATGTAGAATAGGTTAGGTCAAAGTAGAATAGGTTAGGACGGAGTAGAATAGGTAAGGACGGAGTGTAGTATCGGTTAGAACAGAGTAGGAAAGGCTTGAAGGGAGAAGGTCGGTTTATGGCGAACTACGATAGGTTGGGACAAAGTAGGATAAGTTGGGAAGGAGTAGGATAGGTTGAGACGGAGTAGGATAGGTTAGGACGGAGTAGGATAGTTTGGGACGGAGAAGATAGTTCGGGACGGAGAAAGATAGGTTGAGACGGAGTAAGATATGTTAGGATGTATTAGGATAGGTTAGGACGGAGTAGGATAGGTTTGGACGGAGTAGGATAAGTTGGGAAGAAGTAGTTTAGGTTGAGACGGAGTAGGAAAGGTTAGGATGAAGTAGGATAGGTTAGGATGGAGTAAGATAGGTTAGGACGGAGTAAGATGGGTTGGGACGGAGCAGGATGGGTTGGGACGGAGCAGGATAGGCTAGGACGGAGCAGGATGGGTTGGGACGGAGCAGGATAGGCTAGGACGGAGCAATATGGGTTGGGACGGAGCAGGATAGGCTAGGACGGAGCAGGATGGGTTGGGACGGAGCAGGATAGGCTAGGACGGAGCAGGATGGGTTGGGACGGAGCAGGATAGGCTAGGACGGAGCAGGATGGGTTGGGACGGAGCAGGATAGGCTAGGACGGAGCAGGATGGGTTGGGACGGAGCAGGATAGGCTAGGACGGAGCAGGATGGGTTGGGACGGAGCAGGATAGGCTAGGACGGAGCAGGATGGGTTGGGACGGAGCAGGATAGGCTAGGACGGAGCAGGATGGGTTGGGACGGAGCAGGATAGGCTAGGACGGAGCAGGATGGGTTGGGACGGAGCAGGATAGGCTAGGACGGAGCAGGNAATAATAATAATAATCATAATAAAAATCATAATAATGAAAATAATTATAATAATAATAATAATAAACAGAATTGATAAATTTGAGGTATCTATAAATTCTTATTCTGTAGAATAATTTTTATGGAGTAAATTTAAATTTTCTCCAGGAAAGACGAACTCTACTGTTCTAATATAAACCCTCTTCAATTACTTTGACCATGACTTTCTTCCCAGGCAGATTAAGCCATTTTAAGGTTCGCTAGGTGGTCTTCACAGGCTCTTAAAGGGTAGTTTTACTTCTAATTTCAGGGGACAACCCGTCGGGCCGACAAATTTAAATGTATTTACAGCAATTTGTTCTTTGAGTAAAAACAAATTATTTGGCTTTAAGGATATTTATCTGTCTGCAGTGGTGACCTGAGGGGTGGGGATGGGGGAGGTTGGTGGTTCTGCCGGAAAACAACCAATTTTTAACCCTATAGCTGCTACTGTGGGAAATTATCTTGAAAATGGAGAGAGAGAGAGGGGGGAGAGGGGTGGATAAGGGGGAGGGGGGTTGCCCCGGCGGGGGTGAGAGACAGCTCTTTACAAACTTTTGGAAACGGTCAGTTGTCATTCCGACGCACAGAGCGTAGGTGTTCAGGTGTTCAAATATTGAGAATACAGTTTTCCAATTCTGCCCGGCCTCCACTGACCTCTAGCTACTCTGTAAAGTATGAACGAAGTCGAGGCTGCAAGGTCTCTTTACAACCTATCTCCAGGTTCTGATTGTTCTACAACCCTATCTATGGCGGATAGACTAGAAACCATGTACTCAAACTCCTCTCCGCCTCTTGAATGTCCTCCGCCGAAAAAACGTAAGGTCAACTTCTCTCTAACTCTTGATATTAAGCAAGAGAGTTCTGACGATGCATGTGTACCTCTTGGTCCATCAGACGCAAACTCTGACGCCGAGAGTTATTATTCCGATCTCCCAGCCCTACCTACCACTCCTCATGGAGGTCCTCAAGTCCCTCCCCTCACCCCTGGAACTAATCTAAAAGTAGGCGAGGCCTTAAAGCAGACCTATGCCTCCTGGAATGATAAAACCCGTCAGCTAGGTATCCCTAGAGATCCCAGGATCTGGGAGAATATAGAGGTTATTGCCTGGTTAGATTGGGCAGCTTGTGAGTTTCAACTTTATTCACAATCAGTCACAGAATTCATTAGAAACTTTAAGGTAACCAAAAGATTTCGATTTTCTCTAAATTTTGGAAATTTGAGAGAATTTTTTTGCTCAGTCACCATTGAGTTACGAGTAATTCAGTTGATAATACAAGTAATAGAATTAAGATCTGAACAGGGGTTAATAATACTCCAACAATCCTGAATCAGATCATCATAAGTTTACCTTTTTAAAGAATTGAGGATAGGTTTAGAAATCTATAATTACCCCTGTTTTCTGGAATATGATACTCATTGTAATGGTTTAACCCGAATCTAGGATTTTAATTTAATAACGATTTTTTTCCAGTTGAACGGCCGAGAAATGTGCAGTCTGAGAAAGGATGATTTCTGCTTTAAAGCTCCAGTATTTGTCGGAGATATACTTTGGGAGCATCTCCAGCTGCTCCAGGCTGAGTGTGATAAAGACAAATATGCTTTGAGAAATGCTGCTCCTAAACTAAGTGAGATATCCACTGCTCCCAATATATCCAACCAGAGTGCTCCAACCTATACCCAATATTCTCCAAATAGAACTTATACAAACCTAGATACATCTGCTCCCAGATATCAGTCCGAACAGATTCCTCCAAGAGCAACGGAGCAGCATTGCTCCAGAGTATCGGAGCAAAGAATGTCATCTCCCAATCTTGATCTTTCAATGCAAAGGATTTCCCCCGGATTAGAGCAAAGAAACTCTCCAATCCCTCCAAACCCAATAAAAGTTGAATATCCAGTTAAAGCCGAGTACCCACAGTATCCCTACCATCAATACCAATATTCCCGGATGTATCAATATCCTACTTATCCTACTTATGTTCCAACCCTACCCAACCAAACCTACTTTCAAGAACAAACTCAACCAAACCGCTGGAACCAAACAGTGGAGCCTCAACCAAACTATCAGGTAAAGGTTCGGTTTCAAATCCTGAATTGTTTTTTCCCTTTTCTATTGTTTTCTTCTCAACAGTTCTCTTGACAGTTTGATCCGACAATCCCTAAGAATTTGACATATTGTTGTATTTTTACATTTATTTTAATGTTTCAGTTCAACTTTTCTCACATTCACCTGATTCAGTTAAATCCAGGAGATTATATTTGTCAAATTTTTCCTATTTTGGCAGATTTTTCAAAAATATTTCTCATGGATTTCCTTCCTCAGTCCCTTCCTGAACTGTAGGGGGTACCCCCCCCCTAGCATGCGATGAAAAACTAAGAATGAGTGGATGCGGGGGTGTATACAGTGTACACGAAGACACGCAAACAATCCCCCCCCTGTAACCAGACCCGTGTTCCAAAATATTCAGATGTTTTCATTCATGAAACATTCTATAAATAGCCTCCCCCCTCTGCACCCTCCTCGCGGGTTCCCCCCCCCCCCCTGAACCCGTCACCTAGCTGGGATCAAATTACCTTACCATCTCTCCAATTCTCTATTTTGGGTATTGAGTCTACCACCTGACACCCCCCCCCCCCTCCGGTCTCAGCTCTAATTATTTTCTATCCAGGTTCATGATCGACCCTCTCCACCCCCTGTTGCGACCCTATCGGGAGGCATCACCTACTCCAACGGGATCGGGCCGGCCATCACCCCCACGGGACCTATCCAACTATGGCAGTTCATCTTGGAGCTTCTCTCGGATAAGACGTGTCAACATTTCCTCTCCTGGACCGGAGACGGATGGGAGTTTAAAATGACAGATCCTGATGAGGTAATTAATCATTGAAATTACGCGTTTTAAACTTTGTTTTGTTGATGTTTTCAATTTTTTTAAAGTCTTGTTTTTTTAATCATAATTTTGTTTAGGTTGCTCGCAGATGGGGATTACGTAAGAATAAGCCTAAGATGAATTATGAGAAATTATCCCGAGGTCTCCGATATTATTATGATAAAAATATTATTCATAAAACATCTGGCAAGAGGTACGTGTACAGATTTGTCTGTGACCTTCAGAACCTCTTGGGATACAAACCGGAGGATTTCTTCAACCTCATCGGTGTTGTCCCCCAGGGGGCCGACGAGGACGAGTAAAAAGTTGGCGGAATGCGAGGTACGAAAATGCGCAATTTAGCGCCCGGGAGATATCTCAGGGTTTCGAGGATTTTAAGAAATATGTTGAAAGGGCATAACTTGGTCGGAGAGGCCTACGGCTGTGTTGTTGTGATATATAAATATATCTATAGAGACGTTAATATACGTTTTATAATTGTTAAATATTCTTTAAATATACATTAAATTACATTTTGTACAAATTTATGAGTCAAATTTAATAAAATAAAATCTAAACATTGAAATTTTTAATTTTTGTGTCTTTATTTATTTGATTTAAGAGAGTCTTTTATTTATAATTCTTCTAATTAGAAACTTTGAATTTGTGATTTATGGTAAATATTAAGTGTATACGAAAGTATTAAAATTACTAAATGTTGAGCTCTCTGAACAGCATTTTAAAAAGAATGAATACAACAATTCTGTTTCTCGCTCTGTATCTATCTATTCTATATGAATACAATAGTAACAGCATAACTTATGAACCTTTGGGCCGATTTGTCTCAAATTTTGATTGGGGAACTCTATTTAAAAATTCTAAGTTGAATTTTACAGGAAAACCTTAAGACAGAGCTGTGTTTCCAAGCTGTATAAATATAACTAGTAATCTGTGTTTGTTGGTATTGGAGCCGACCCTAACCCATGATCAAACGATGTACCTAGAAAAACGCTACATAGATAAAACGCTAGTAAAGAAAAAAACGCTACCCTTATAATTATTATATTTGCATGTTTATAAGTTTAGAATAGAATATGTACTTTTAAAAATCTATATAATAAAACAAGACATTCGTATATATCACACTATAGCTTGGGAACCCAGCGCGCTGCCAAGATTACTAAAAGTTACTCCCGCCGTTTACCCGCACTTGAACGATTTTACCTGTAAACTAAATGTTCGCTGTTAAATCAAATTAGCATCTTAAAACGAAGCTTAGAACATTTCCGTGGGTCTCCCAAGTTCCCCAATAAAATTTGAGGCAAATCGGTGCAGGGGTTCCTGAGTTATGATCGGAAAAACAAGCATACACAGATTACAACTTCTATATATAAATTTGGCTTGTCTGTCTGTTTGTCTGTCTGTTTGTTTGTATCCAATAAACGTCAAAACAGGCTGAACCGATCGGGCCCAAAATTTTTGTGGGACATCTAGGGACCCCAGGGAAGGTTTATGAATGATCAAAATTTAAAATATTTGTCTCCATCAAAATTCGATCTTCATTAAATTTTTGAAAATTTTGAAAATCCACGAATTTTTTTGTGAAAATCCGCGAATTATTTTTGTTTTGTTTTACGATGTACACAAAGAGAACATGTTCACAATTAATTTAGAAGATGGGCGCGAAGCGCCCTCTAATGCTAGTTATATAAATAGATACAGAGAAAATATATTTACACACAGAGAAAAAAATATTACATTAAATTTGTTCGTTCACATTAACTTCTCAACGTTGCAAATATTACGTGAATTTTCTTCTGCATATACAATATACATCTTCTGCACATACAATATACATCTTTTGTATCTTCCCTTTCTTTTTTAACAAAAATTTTTCAGCTTTTTAACCCTTCCTCTTTAATATTCAAGTTATTAAACTTTAAATAATAATATATAAAAAATACAATTTATATTCCAATCTAAAATTTAAATCTAATATACGATATTTTTTCTAAACTAGCGTTTTATCTTGTAGCTTTTTATGAGTGTAGCGTTTTTCTAGTATGGCCGATTGAACCCCTTGACCGATTTGCCTCAACTCTGTCATGTAGAACTCCGGGAACATTATCTTAACTTGGTTTAAAAAAGTACGTTTTCAACGAAAAAGTAGTTTCCAAACAAAGCTGGTTTCACAAGTTAATTAATAACTCAGCTATTATAGGCTTCAAGATTCAAGAAATCAAAAGAATTCAAAAAAGAGAAAAATATTGAAGACCGACTAAAATAAACCTTCAACATAATGAACTAAAGAAAAGCTTATTTGTTGATATTATGTTTTGTATTCATTTTCGATGATGAGGCCAGATTCTTAATAAAATACAATTTCCACAAATAATATTTGGTTTTATGCAATAGTGCATTATTTGCGATCTCGTAGCTCCTCTAGTTTTCAACTGTGCACAAGATGAGACACAAATCTATTCTGTTTATACAAATTAAAAACATTTTTCTTCTTAATTTTTTTTCACTTAAAATTTAAAGATGATTTAGAACATATGAGAGTTTAATCGAATAAATAAATTAGAATTTAAGTAGAATAATGTGGGGGAATCATTCAGGGAGTATGGAATAGAAGGGAGATACAATTGACTCGGCCCGCCCTACCATATGATTATGCTTGCTTTGCAGGCGGGTACTCCATTTGTATAAGAAATATTCATAAAAGTTTATTGTATACGCGGTAATTGTACATCAGACAATTATTTCTTATACAAATAAAGTACCGTCTGCAAAGCATATATGATCATATGGTAGGACGGGCCGCGTCAGTTATATCTCCCTTCTATGCCATACTCCTTGGCATCATTTCCTTTAACACAAAAAAAAATACTTTTATTAAGTCGCCCTTCGTTCAGAAAACTAACACATAACAAAAAAATAGTAAATCCCGTAGTTGGCATTTTTAAGAATTTTAAAAATTCACGTAAATGTCCTGACTTTAAGAATAATTTATTGTAAAGTATTGTTTAATTATTAGAAATTGGAAATCTGTTTTCAAGGATAAGATCTTGACCCATTTTTACATAAAGTCAGAGAAACGACCAATATTTAAAAGCTGAGTTTTTATTCAAAGTTTAGTCCTATCTCCTATATAATAAAGCTCTTTCTTTCCTCATATATATTTGTTTCTTTAAATAACATAGGCTGAGAAAAAAAAATGTTCTTCAAAATTTGATTTTTTTAAATCCACCGGCAACGCCGGGCACTTCAGCCAGTGCTTAATAATATTTGAAACGTGTATCTCCCTCTTTCAATGATTTTATTAATTTTTGCTATAAAAGTTTGCACATTTTTCAATATTGGAATGATTTATGAACCTGAAAAGCAGAATAAAGTTATTTCTAAAGTCGTCTTACTTTAAAACTTTCTTCATACTTGAAACTGATACATTATCAGATAATATTAAGAATTTAAAAAAAGCCTGTGATATTTCATTTTAAAAAATGCAAGATGTTCCATTGAAATAAAAAAACATTGCAATCGTCATAATGTACTAATGTACTGGAAAAATGAATGGACTGTAAGAGTTCATCTTATAATGTATAGACTGTAAGAGTTCATCTTGTAATGTATAGACTGTAAGGGTTCATCTTATAATAGATAGAATGTAAGAGTTCATCTTATAATGTATAGACTGTAAGAGTTCATCTTATAATGTATGGACTGTATTAGAGTTCATCTTATAATATATAGACTGTAAGAGTACATCTTATAATGTATGGACTGTAAGAGTTCATCTTATAATGTATAGAATGTAAGAGTTCATCTTATAATGTATAGAATGTAAGAGTTAATCTTATAATGTATAGACTGTAAGAGTTCATCTTATAATGCATAGACTGTAAGGGTTCATCTTATAATGTATGGACTGTAAGAGTTCATCTTATAATGTATAGAATGTAAGAGTTAATCTTATAATGTATAGACTGTAAGAGTTCATCTTATAATGTATAGACTGTAAGAGTTCATCTTATAATGTATAGACTGTAAGAGTTCATCTTAAAATGTATAGACTGTAAGAGTTCATCTTATAATGTATAGACTGTAAGAGTTCATCTTATAATGTATGGACTGTAAGAGTTCATCTTGTAATGTATATTTATAGCCGCAACAGATAGAAGTATTAAGATTAGTAGAAATCACCATCGAATCTTTTTCGCCGTAAGCATATACCCCTTTTATTTTTCGCGAATACTCCCTTTAAGAGTTATCTTAAAAATGTAGAAACTATTGAAGTTCATCTTAAAAATAAAAATAAAAATAGCTATAATAATACATTTTTATTTAAATATTTTTGCATAATTCTAACAAATGAATCTTAGAAATTGTCTCAATGTCTGTTGTTTTTGGACAAAATAAACTGAAAAACACCTTGACACCACACACTAACTAACAAAGCGTGTTCAAAGAGAAAAAAGGAAAAAAAGAAAACACGGGTTCGGTTCCTTTCAGGCTTAGTTCTATTCAGCTATAGATATGAATGGCCAGGGGGGGGGGGG